ATCTACTGTGTATAACATCTACTGTGTATAACATCTATTGTGTATAATATCTATTGTGTATAACATCTATTGTGCTGCAGCTTGCACAGCTCCTAAATTTACATCATCTCAGGTGAGTGCATTGGGCTGAGACCAGGTTTTTCTCCTGACATTTATCTCAAAAATAAATATCTCAGTAGGTTACATATTACCAGTTTCTTTTTCATTTTTTACTCTTTCTGTTATTGCTGTTAGGTCTTAGAGGCACCACCACCCACAAACCAATCCCTATCACTACTCTTTACAAGTTACAAAAAGCTTTCTACACAAGTTCCCATTGGATGGTTATAGCACTCCTATGAGTATGTGCCACAAGGTCCATAGTACAGATGGCAAAACTGGCAGAGGAAACAGCTAAGTTCCCCAAAGTTGAAAGTGGGAGAGCCGGCATTCGAATGTGAATTTTCTGATGTCAAGTCATCAAATTCAAAATGGTATTATTACGGTGAAAAGAAATCACATTCCAACGCCATAAACTGCCGAATGTGTGTGTTCTGCAATTTTTCTAACACAGTAACACTCTCCATTCTTTTAAATAATATTTTCTTATCAACATAAGAACAATTTTTTATTGCATTAGCTTAGTGTAATATAGCTGCAAACAATCAGCTCCTGTCTTTGGAGACCCAGAAACTTTATCAAGGTCACCACAACCATGAATGTTATTATAACTTGAGAAGTAGGTAGCATATCAGATTAGTCTGCTTAAAAAATTATCAGTGGGCAGAGAGATACACAGCCAATTTGTTATGTGTAAGCTATATACATCTAGATAAAAACGTTATTCTGAGCTAGTGCAAATACAGGAAAAATCCCACTGAGAGAAGGAATAAGGAAGCATAGCAAACAGCTAAGGTCTCACCAGGAGGGAATTTAGAAGCACACTAAGGTACACACACTTAAGAAATGTGTCAGACACAAGCAGGGAGAGCTGGAGTAGAGTAATGACAAGTTTTCACTGAAGAAGATGAGATAATAAATTAGAATCCACACAGACAATGGAACTATTATTTGACCATTAAAATAAGACTATATCATTAAATGTACTATATTATACTTGCAAAAATTGTGTACTGTGTGAGTTTATAGCATATATAATATATGCAGATATCTAGTATATTTTCAAATATATAATGTGAATATTAAGCACATATACTCAAGGACATTGGCGCGTTAATAGTGTCAGGAGTATATCTGTGTCTAGGCTTCTTTGGAAACATTTTCCTTCCTTTTTCTGAATGTCTTATTTTCTATACTACAAAAAAAACACAATAAAGTAAAATGTAATAAAATTTATGCATGTTTTGCTTTAATATTTGGCAGTCATTTATGATGTTTGAGATACTGTGGCATTTCTTCCAAAGTCACCTCAGTAAGTATAGCATTAAACAGGAACTACAAAATCATTACCATACCATAGCCAATATTTTCAAATATCTGCCATCACATATCTTCAGTAGCTCTCTAAATATCATTTATAGCTGCATTTTTTCCAGAACTGAGGCATGCACATGCAGCTGGTTAGATCATTTTTAAAAGCTAAGAATAAAAATTGCACACTGTATTAGTTGACATTGTCACTGAAATCCTGACTTAATAACTTAAAGAGGGAAGGTTTAGTGCGGCTCATGTTCAAACCATGGCTATTTGGTCCCATGTATTTGAAGAGAACATCATCCTGGTAGGGGCATAGGAAGTGCATATCTTTTAAAAACCAGGCAGTAGTTGTTTAACTAAATTATTGAATATAAAAGTTCATATAAAGGTTTACATCTTTATATACTTTAGTGGCAATTTTTATCAGATTATGTGTTTTTCAATATTCATTTGTTGCTAGAGAAGATTTTTATTTGTGTGTGTTTGTGCTTGCATATATGTGCCACATGAGCACAGAGACCAGAAGAAGGAGTCAGACAACTGGGGTCAGAGTTACAGGTGGTTCTGAGTCACCTTGCACAAATGCTTGGAACCAAACTTGGGCCCTCTGGAAGAGCAGCAAGCCCTCTTAGCCACTGAGCCGTCCCTCCAACCTCTCATAATCCATTTTTATGCTGTCTTTTTATTACAGGGATTGTTTTCTTACTATGCAGATACTTTTTAATTGGATTGCTCTGCACAGAACTGCTGGGAAGGCAACACTGTGAAGCAACTGACTGTTCCTCAAAAAAAAAAAAAAAAAGATTTCCTTATGATCTACTTCAGGGTATTTCTCAGAATGAATTTCAATCAGGATTTTAAAGAGAGATTAGTATGCTCAGGATAATTGTTTCACTATTCAAAGTAATCAAGAGTGAAAACATCCTGAATATTTGGAAGAATAAGTGGAGGTGAAACAATAAAGTGTACAGAGACATAAAATAGAATCCCAGTCAGCATCTAATAAGGAAATTCTTCATTATGTATCAGCATGGACAGGTCTGTGAAATTGTAACATGTGAACACGACATGGTTTGACTTACATGCAGTATTTAAATAGTTAATTTTATAGACTCAAGAGTGGAGTGACAGTGACCCGAAGCTGGGCAGAAGGAAAAGCAGCATTGACTTTCTGTCAAGCAAGAAGGATAAGTTCCAGAACCCTGTTTATCTCATCTACCCTGTATCCTGCAGTAGCACACTGACATTATAAAATGTGTTAAAAGTAGATTGCTTGCTGGTTAATTTTTAAAAAACTTTTTATTGATTCTTTGTGGATCTCACATCATTCATTCCAATTCCACTAATATCCCTGTCCCTTTGTATCTACCCTCCACCCTTGCAACCTCCCCCCAAAATAAAATAAAATAAAATAAGAAAAATAAAAAGGAATTGGTGTGGGAAGTCCTTCTGTATATGTGTTGCTTTTATTGGTTAATGAATAAAGAAGCTGGCTTGGTCTGTGATAGGGCAGAGTGGAGCTAGGCGGGGAAAACTAAACTGAATGCTGGGAGAAAGAAGGCAGAGCCGTGAGATGCCATGTAGCTGCCAGAGGGGAAAGATGCGATCCAGCTGGAACCTTGCCAGTAGGCCACAACCCTCGTGGTAAAATATAAAATAGTAGAAATGGGTTAACTTAAGATGTAAGAGTCAGCTAGAAATATGCTTAAGCTATTGGCCAAACAGTATTGCACATACTATAGTTTATGTGTGATTATTTCGGGAATCTGGGAGTCTGGGAAATGAATAAGCAGCCTCCCTTAACAAGAAATCTTTTCTTGGAAGATGTAGTGTGTCACAGTGACTCACACAGTGTATCCTTTAGTTTATATATCTTTACTTACAAATGTTGATTGCAGTGAGTCATTGGTCTGGTTTGAGGCCTCTGACTTGTGTTACACTACCAATACAATACTGGATTCTCACAGGGACTCTTCTTGGCTATCCATTGCTGCCCCATGTTGTGGAGATTCTAAAGTTTTCGATCTACAGAACTGTCCACTTCACATGCTCCAGAAGTTGTTAGATGGGGTGGGTATTGGGGTGAGCCAACCCATAGGTCTTGATCTGCCCTGGGTGGTAGCTAAGTTGGGGAGCAGACTAGTTCTTCCACATCCTCACCACCATGTCAAGTTCTCCAGCACCATCCTGGCTAGCTCACCCAGTGCTGCAGGCAGCACAAAGTGGGGCCATTTTCCCCAATCTCAACCCCTAAGGGCCAGCTCACCCGCAGTCATAACACCAGGGCCAGCTCTACTGTGTTGTCTAAGTGAGGTACTGAGCTGCTCTCCCTAGTGCTGAGGATGGTGAGGGGCAGGACCATCGCCCCCCTCATGTCTCCAAGGCCAGCTCTCCTGCCTGTTGCAAGTGGCAAGGAACAAGGAGGGTAATTTTTCCTTGCCTATGCCACTTCATGGCTGATGAGGGCAGGTCTATCTTTTCCACACTCACACCCTCCAGGCTGGCTCACCTGTGCACGCCCCAACAGGCTCGTTCTACTGTGCTGCCCAGGCAAGTTGCAGGGTCTGCTCTCCCGAGTACTGTTTGCTGCCTGTTCTTAGTACAACACACAGCAGAACATAACTAGACCAAGCAGAAATGTAAAACTGTCTAGTGTTCTTCTCAGGCTGAGATGTTTCTGTTTTCTTTTTTAAACCAATGCTTTTTAAAAAATTTAGTGTTAATATGGTATTGAATAATTACGTGATGGTAATAGGTGATATCTTCAAGACAGGCAATGAGAAATCAGGCAGGATCTTAAAATTTGTGAGTAAGATCTAGCAAGCTTACAGAAGCAATGATCTTGCGCCTTAATAAAGTCCTTTCTTGAGCAGTGAGTCTTCATTGTGTGACTCTGTGCTTCACACTGTGAACTTGTTTTCACTTTCCTTTCTACAAAGCCCAAATAACAGCATAACTTTAAAAAAAACATTATTGCTGTTGTATGTTTTGGTTGGTGTGTGCACGCACATGACGTGTGTGCGTCCAGGTACATGTGTCCCACAGCATGTGAAGGGACGTCAGAGCACAGCTTCCAGAGGTAAACCTCTCCTTCCATCACAAGTCCTGGGAACAAAGTCAGGTCGTCTGACGGGTACAGCAAGCTCTCCTACCAGCTGAGCCACTTAGTCCCACCCTGGAACTGTTTTTTACAAGAAAGATCTACTTTTGATTTTGCCATTTTATTTGTGTGCATGTAACAGATTGGCTTTCAGTGAGCTATAGAGGCATTTTATGCATTCAGCCATAGTTTTAAATAATAAAAGCCTTAAGAACCTTAGTTCTAGGACTACAAAAAAGATATTCCCACTTGGATGTTCATTATGGTGTGTTTGCCTTGTTATTCTAAATCAACACTACAATTTGGGAAATAAAGGTCATGTCGTTATTTATAATGTGTCCTCTAATACTAGCTTATACTATGCACCTCACGGGACCTCAGAGACACTCGGGGTCCCCCGTTCCTCTGACAAAATGTCCACATTGTTTTTTCCTAATAGCCACCAAGGTTGGTCAGAGATGGTTGTCTCCCACATGCTTTCTAGGCCAAGGAACTGAATAACAGTTTGCTCTGGTCATTTTGCCTTTCATCCCTCTGTTCGAGACCACCAGGCAGCTATTGTTGGCACTTACACAGAGGCGATTATCACTGACAAAACTTCTTCTGCCTACTGTAAAGAACATGAACTGTGGTTGTTTTCTAGGCAAGTCTCTTCTTGGCACTAATGAGTGACGCAAGACTGAATTTATGAATTAAGAATAGGTCGTTCTCTGAGTGTTGGGTTGCATTTTACGTTTCTTCTTTACCACCTCCAGACTGAAAATAAATCTTGTTAAGACCAGCGAAGGAGGGAAAGTGTTATGGGGGACAGCAGGGACAACCTGAAGGTGGGAGTCTCATTAACCTTCAATGTTCACACGGCTTTATGTGAAGTTTAAACACATGTCACTACCTCCCATGCAGTATCATATAACCTCTACAGTACTTTGGAGTCAAATGGTGTGCCTCTCAAGAACAAACATTGCCCTGTCTTTGAAAACTATGTCTTTGTGAAACTGGAGATCTCATCAGTGGTTGGGAGCTAAGTTTAGGCCACAAATCATGTTAAGTCACATGACTGCTGGTGGTTTCTTCATCTAGTAGAAACCGACGATTTCCTTACAGCTCTAGAATATATAACACTTTGTATTGGCTTAATCGTTTGAGTGATGAGTTGGATGTGTTGTCATTGTGACAAAATGATATGTTTTCCCTTAAATCTCCAGAGGCTGCTGCAGCTCATGGACCCTCGACTCCATCCTTTCTGGATTACTTTTGAGGACAAACCATCATGGAAGAAGGACATGACATAGGAGAGACGCATACAAGAGAAGGGGCCAGGAATAAGATCCGTTCTTCAGAGACACACCCACGGTGATCCACAACCTTCACTTTGGCCTGGCCTTTTAGTTCCCACCTCCTTTGAGTAACAGCTATCAGATTATAAGATGACCAGTGGGTTAGCTCATTGATCACATCCCCAAAGCCTAGCTTTTAACTGGTACATCAAAGAACCAAGCCTTCAACACACACATCCTTTATGGGAACATTCCATACACAAACCACATGAATATGCAGGTCACTTAAACACGCTACAATGACTACATCTGAATCTTATTTAAACTCACTCACACAGGGAGGGAGGTTCTGGGAACAGAACGCAGGGCCTTGGGACCGCTACACAAATGCTGAACCTTTAGTCATATCACCAGAGCTCCGCTGACGCCTCAGTGCACACCAATACTCTAACATTGTCAATGCGCAGATTTCCAAACTGCCAGGTCATCAATCAATTGAATTCTTTTTTTGTTTGGTTGCTAGGAGGATAACTACCAATATTCTGTCAGACGACATTACTGAAATAGTGATTTTTCATGTTAGATCATGTTTTTCAAAAACTCGGCAAATCTTCTGACAGACTCTTAAGACTTTTGACTGATGAGCCACTGAATGGTGTATTCCACCCGAATCACAAGATAGGGGATTTAACCAGGAGGCCACCGAAGCTGTTATCAGTTGACAAGCTAAGTCACGCTCAAACCTACCGCTGAGGTTTTCAACACATCGCTTAATGTCTGTGGAGCTCAGAGTCTGAATAAAACACTGAACAGGGTCAACTGGTGGATGTTTCTAGAAGCTTTGATAATTCAATATTTTCATGTTTCTAATACATGTGGTGCAATCTTGAGATTTTCTCGATTTCTGAATGGAAGTTCTACCTTGGAATTAAAAACAAAATGTCTGCCTTAAGTAATTCCCGCTGACAGGTTTTGAGTCTCAGACCAGGTTCATTAATCTTATTTCCTTTAAATTAATGGGCTTATCATTCTAACTTCATAAACTGTAAATGTATTTTTCTAAATAATTGTGGTGATAAGTAAAAACTGGCAAGTACTGAACAGTAAAGAACTATCTGATATGACTTACAAATTACATATTAGTTTAAATATATAAAGATGTAAAGAAAAATATCTAAGGCAATTACATAGAAATTCTGTTCTCTAAAGCAAAGCAAATCTAGAGCAGGACCAACAACCTTCTGAGAAGGTCTCCTTGGCATTATGTTCACTACCGTGGATGTGTGCTCTGTTTTGCTGCTACACAACTCAGCAGTTGCCGACCATGCAGAGACTTTTAAACTGCATTTCAACCAAATATTGTATAAACCCGATGGGAGTCTGTGTGACCCTTAGTTCATTTGCTAATCTAGAACAATAGAGACTGGCTGACGGAAGGCTTCCCCACGCTGCGGAAACTATGACTAAAGAGGAGTAGTCACAGAAAATTTTCTTAGTTCCATTGTTACAATTTTTCTCCAATGAAAATTCATGCACAAATTACTTCTACAATTAGAAACAATTGCAATAATGTTGAAAACTATTTAATTTGGCATCTGAAGTGTCAATACACTGTTTTGACCATGTTTTTTAAAGATTTTCTCAACAGGCATACAAGAAGCAAGTTCCTGTCAGGAAAATTCCAGGGCTTTGCTCTCCTACTAACCTTCCCATGCCCTTGAAAACATTTTAGTCCAGAGTCTGTAGGATTAAAGCACAAAGAGCAGTAAGACAGACTCCCAGTCAGAGAAGATCACAGACAACCTCTCCAGTAAATGAGAGCATACTGCACTGTTACATTTATTTTTAAATATATAGCTTTATATTAAGAGCACATTGCAGGGGTGGAGAGATAGCTCAGAGGCTAAGAGCATTGTCTACTGTTCCAGAGGACTGGGGTTCAATTTCTAGCACCTGCATGGTGTCTGTAACTCCACTTCCAGGGATCGAATACTTCTGACTTCTTCAGGCACTGTACACATGTGCACAGACATACATGCAGTAAAACCACCCACAAGCACACACTCACAAACACTCACATGTAATGCAAACAAGTACACACATATATTTTTAAAAGGAAACAACTTTTCAGGAGAATAAAGACTCTGGACACCTTCTACAAAAACATGTTTGCTACCTGAGATTATTACCTGCCACCAGCTAAAGCCACAGATAACAAATAGCAAAGGTATAGTTCTACATGCGAACGCCTCTTCAGCGGAGTCCACACAGCAAACGCTTGGCTTACCTCCTAAAATGTGAACATGGAAGTTCAGACCTCCCAATCCCTAGACACCTCCTTCAGAAAAAAAGGGGAGATAGGCATCTTTGGGGGGCATGTAGACAGTTGCCCGCTATGGCAATGGCTCCAAAATATAAGCAAATAAACCATTTCATCCTTTATGGGCAAACCAGTCACAGAAGTACTAATGAAATCCTTTGAAAGCCTTTTCAGAGGTGTCAGAAATTAAGAGCTGACAGCAAGTTCGACTGATAAGTAGTGACAATGACAGCCACTATGATCACCAGTAAAACAGACTCAACTGTGCATTTATATGCCAACACTTAACAGTACAACAAAGCCTAAGAACATCAGGATGTTCAAAGGAACCCTGTCTGATTTTCACCAATTTCACAAATAGCTGGGCTACGCAGACTAAATGACTTATGGGATCAGCAAACAGCCTACCCCAATGGGGAGAGACCTGCCAGCTGCCTACAGGGTGCCTGCGAATGCCCTTTCCACAAAGCATGAAGAGACAGAGCTGGATTTTGGCGGACATAAGTTCAACTATTTTTTTCTGTCACCTTTCCTTGGAAACTGGTCCTTCTTCCCCCTTTATTTGAAAACGGAGTTTTTTCCTCACATTTTCTCCTTATTACAGTTTCCCTCCCTCTGCTTCTCCCAGTTCCTCCACAAAGCTCCTCCCCACCCAGATCCACCCCCTTTCTGTCTCTCATTAAAAAAAGAACAGGCTTCTGAGGGACAATAACCAAATAAAATATAATAAGGTAAAACATAAAGTCACTCATTGGAATTGGAGAAAACAAATGATCAGAGAGAAAAGAGCCCAAGAGAAGGCACCAGAATCAGAGACCCACTCATTCACACTCTCAATCTCATAAAAACACCAAACTGAAAACTATAATATATATGCATAGGACTTGGTTCAGGCCCGTGTGGATACTGTGTATGCTGTCTCAGTCTCTGTGGGCTCACATTTGATCATGTTGATGTAGAGGGCCTTACTTTGTTTTTTTTTTTGTGTTCTCCGTCCTTTCTGGCTCTTACACTCTTTCTGCCGCCTCTCCTGCAGTGCTCCCGGAGTCGGGGGAGGGATTTGATGGGGACATCCCATTTAGGGATGAGCTTCTTAATAGCCTGACAGTACGATTCAATTTAGTTCACATATTTTTTGCTTCTCAATGTCAGTTGGTAGATAAATGGATAATATATCCATGTAGTTGAATATGAGCTGCTCATAAGAAAGAACTTCAAGCACATAGAACATGAATGAATCTCAGACATAGTGTTAAATGAAAAATTCCAGAAGCAATAGAATATACAGGATTAAGTTCAATAGTAATCTAAACTAAATTATGAGGCTAAAGGACAGGAAAATGGTTGCTCTCAGGATAAGTAAGAACTAAAGAGGGATTTTGGATTGTTCTTGTATTTTCTTTATGTAGAGTCTTGTTTCAAAAGTGTGTTCACAATGAAAAAATTCTAAGCCATATGTCCTGTAAGGTATGTATGAATTCTTTCTTTTTGCTGATTTCTGACATCTGGCAAATTTGACCCCAAATTCCAAAGTACACCTTCTCAGATACATCTCCCCTTCACCTGTTCTAACCATTCTTCTTCTTGTCTATGACATGAGTGTCTCTCTCATTCTACAACCTTCTATACCCTCCCAAGGCACACATCTGGGCACTCATTTCTCATCTATATCTATGTTTAAATCTATACCGTTAATACTTGATCACATATATATGATTGAGTACTTTTATGCTTGCTTATGATTCCTTTAAAACACTGTAACCCACACATCTGTCTCCAGGGCCTTGTGCAGAAGCAGAGATTATTGGACAATATTCGTCCTCCAGAAATTTAGAGTCAACTAGATGAGATGAGTTGAGAAACCGAAGTATGCTGTTTTATTCAAGGGTTAGAATGCAAATGGTGTTCTGGAAGCATTTCTCCTTCTCACTTAATGAGAAAGTCCATGGGTGACAGTGAGCCAGTCTGTGAGTCAAGAGCTCAGAGAGGGAAGCGAGCAGAGGAACTTTCTAGACCTGGTACCTTGGCAGTGTGAAGCAGAGCAGAATGGATGTGCAGAATACACAGATAAAGAAAAGGGAAACCTCACCTTTAAGGCTAAACCCAGATAGCTTTCTGTGCTTGCCGAGCACATCACCGCGTCCCAAAGAGCACATCCTTCTGTAAGACTCTTATCTCAGGATAAGAATCCCTAAAACTGTTGGATCAATGAAATGTAGCAGCAATATGTTTAAAGGGGGAAAGGAAACATCATTCCCCAAACACAATCTTGCAAGGATGGCACAAGGGCAGTCTCAGTAGTGACCTTCTAGGCTGCATTCTTGTGTACTTGGTCTGCTGCATCCTGTCTTCTCAGCCTTCTAGGAGCTGAGAACTGTTATATCTCCAGTTGTCAAATGCCCAAATGAGGCTTAGCAAGACTCATTCACTTCTTACAGTCCATATATATGTTCAGCATGGGGGAGGGTCGCTGAGAGAGTCCGATGGGTCTCACTCTGAAAGCTGCACAGGTTGGAGTTCAGGGTTCATACAGCCCGGGTAACAGTAGACCTGGTATGGAGAATAGGCTAATGATATCTCTGCTCCAAGCCCACCATAGTCAGACTGTAGCATTTGGCTCCACAGGCTCAGGTGCACGGTGATTTCTATGGCTGCACTCACACTAGAGCTCGTCCACTGCTCAGGAGCCTGACTATGCACATCCCTGGAAAACATGCTATTTGAATAGCAGCTTTCATTCAAATTTCATTCACATATATGTGAGTCTAAGCCCTCTTGTGAAAGTGCTGGAGGAGGTTATCTGAATCATAGAAATGAGGACTCGGCATTGTCTAGCTGGGGATGCATCGTATCACAGCAATAATGGCGGAAAAGCTCAACTTCCACCATCACACTGTTCCAAGACACATGTGTGCTTTCCTGAGGAGAAGGCACTGTCCAAGGAAGGGCAGAAGTCTTTGTTGCAGAAAGCAGCCTCTCAGCTCTCTGTTCATCCTACAAGTCAGGACCTGATAGCAAAGTGCTGAACCCACAGACTCAGTGTGGCTGGCCAGTCCAGGTTTCCTCCCAGACCGTGACAGGGCCTCCTGCTATTTCAGGCCATGGGTCTGTAACAGATGCCACTACTGCCCTCCATTCTGGCTTATGTGAAATTCTGTGGTGGTTTAGTGAAGTCAACAAATAGCTGCAATGGATCACATGAGGAAGATGAAAAGGAAGGTGGGATTAGCCCCATCTTCAGAAGGACAACTACCCTCTGCTACCTCTTATCAGAGAGTTGCCCTTCACAACAAATAAAACCGTTTTTATTGGAAAAGGGTTTCAAGTGAATAGTCACACTGCAAGCAAAGCTCATCTCCTGACTTCTCAATGATGCATCGCCTTATTTGTCATTTGGGTTCTGTCTCTCCCCAGGCCTCTAAACACTTTATCTATTTCCCGATTAAAAGAATATACTGAATGACCGTAGAACAATTGCTGACTTCAATAAACTTACTGACACTGCAGTGTTTAATAATCTATCATTCATATCCAGTTTTGCCACTTAACCTAGGAACTCTCTTCAAACCATGCCAAGTGCCACCCCCACCAGGGTACCATCTCTGACACTTCCAGTACCCCCTTCCTTTGTGACACTCTTTCAATGCAAAGATTTACAATCTTTTTACTGTTATTATATCTCACGTTTACTGTGTGGTTTTACTACCCTCTTAGGATACTAGGCAACAAATTTCTGAAATAAAACTGAAAATAAAACA